GCCCATCAGTGCCGCCTATCAGTGCCCATCACTTCTGCCTCACCAACGCACATCAGTGAAGGAGAAATTACCTGTTTTCAAAATTTTATAATAGAAAAAAAGAAACTTTTTTTTTTTTTTTTCAAATTTTTGGCAATTTTTTTTTGTTTATAGCGCAAAAAGTAAAAACACCCAGCGATGAATAAATACCACCAAAAGAAAGCTCTATTTATGAGAAAAAAATTATAAAAATTTCATATGGGTACAATCTTGCATGACTGCGCAATTGTCATTCAAAGTGCGACAGCGCTGAAAGCTGAAAATTGGCCTGGTAAGGAAGGGGGTATAAGTGCCCGATAGGCAAGTGGTTAAACTATCTACTTTTATTTTTTTAATTTACTTTTACATAATTAAAACAAAAAATAAAAAGCCATCAGAGAGTCAATTGTTTTCTTTTAATTCACATAAAAATCGATTGTGCAAATAGTACATTCATATAACATAATCATTTAGCTTAGTCTGAGACACAGGATGACATAACAAACTATACATTTTTGACTTTTAATATTTTTTTCAGCATTCAGCCACATCTAAAAAAGTTTTGGTTTACTTTGAAACAGTGTTGGATGGTCCTCCTCTGTTCACACTTTCATTTTTTTATGCTGTCTCCATGGTCTCCTTCTCCTCACCCCACTACCTCTGACCTCATCACCCCTCTATTCGACTTTTTTCTTGCCTTTGCTCTCCCTCTCTGGCCCTGCTTATCTTCTATGTTGTACCATCTCCCTTCCTATGTTAAGTCTGCCCTCCAGTCCCCTCCTCACACAAGTCACAAAACAGCAACATTATACCAAAGTTGGCAAATGCAATGCACATACAATGTTTTCTATAAAGAACACCCTACCAGGAGCTCAAGATGTCCACTTTCATACATGTCTCGTTTGTGTCAGGAGTTGTTATCCAGTCTTTCTAATCTCCATGTGGACCATTCCAATGTACAGAAACTGTGGAAGGCATGGCAGTATAACCTATCCTAAACTAACATTATCCATCCCCTTGCAGTATGTGAAACCTGCACAGAGGTCTCCGTCCTGCTGATAGCTGGTATCCTGATAGCTGATAGCCTTCTGACACTTGGTATATCTCTATTCATTTACTTTGGACGCAAGAGAAAATCTGCTAGAAGCAGCAAGATGGCACCTGAAGGCCGAAACAGAGGTAAATTATACCAATATACTAAAAGATGACTTTGGTAAACTGGGAACATCATCAATATATAGGTGAAGAGTTTTGACCTTTGTGAGTGCATTTATTTTTTTTATTGTATTTGTTTCTATTTGAGGCACCATAAATTTAAGAGGATTTTATGTAAAAAAGCTAATGAATATGTATTTACTGCATTTATTTATGTCATCAGTGGAAGCTGTGCTTATCAGAATCAAAATTCCAAGGGCAAAGTACAATATTGCACAAAATTAATGACACAATAAAAGGAGGATATAGAGTTCTTGGCATATCGGATCCTACTTTGCAAATAACACAGCTTTGTTTCTTTTTGTTGTTCATCAGGAAATAAAGAGCGCCCCCCACCTGTTCCTCACCCTGACTATGAGGTACGTTGTTTTGGGTGTATTTAGGAGAACATTATCTTCTTTTCACCAACCGCAGGAATTCATTACAAAAACTTTACACTGTGCACTATACATTTTTTTCATGAAATGCTGAGCCTCCAATGTCCTGTTGTGCATTCCCAACAAAGTGCTATAGAGAACACTTGCAGATAAGAGGAGAATGCTGTCATGTGACCAGGGGCGGATTGACAACTCATGGGGCCCCCGGGCAATAGGGGATCATGGGGCCCCTGTGTCCTTGTCCAAACTCAAAAAAGCCTATGAAAAAGGTACCAAGGGGCATCTCATGGGGCCCCCTAGTGACCCCAGGCCCTCGGGCAGTGCCCGAGTTTCCAAATGGTCAGTCCGCCCCTTGCATGTGACCAATTTTAGGTCACATGACAGGTTTTCTCCTCTTTCCAGCCTTTTTTGCTATTCATTGTAATGAATTTATCTTAACTTAGTAAAGATTTTTGTAGCGAGTGAAGTACAAAGCACACTTATGAGACACACAGTGTCATCTTATGTGTAAGAAATAGTATACAATGTCACAAAGTCCTCAATCTGTGTGTTTCATTCACAACACAAAGAATGTCCTTGGAAATGGATCTGTTTGCTGATCCCCGCTGAGCAGGTGGCTGAATGGTCCGTGTCGGCTCTTCTTGTGCAGAGAGGACATGGACACAGCCCACTGTTCTCTATGGGATGGTCGGATGTCTACACCCAACTGTCATGTGATCCATTCTGCTAGACGGATGGGGAACAAATCCCTTTCTGTCTGTTTTTTAGTGGATTGGATCGGATGGAGGTGGGTGTCCGTTTACTTCCAGCTCTGCATAGAGAACAGTGGGTGATCCCATCAGGTCTGCCAGAAAAAACAGACAGGTGGACCTAATCTGTCCACCCGTGTGGATAGGCCCTTAACCAGGTCAATTATTCACAGCACCACATTTGTTCAGATCAAATGCCCTCCAGCTGTGTTATCTACCACTAACTTCAGAGAGGCTCACTCACCAGATGGATTGGACCTCAGATTATAAGGGTTAGATATGCATTTTCTCCTTTATCTCCAGATCTCATAGGAAAAACATCTAGATAGAAATACGCAATTATTTCAAAAAGGATTTATTTTTCATTTTTCCAAATCCATCACCTTAAGTTCCGTCAATGTGGGAAGGATAGAAACATGAAAAGCAATCCAATACTGCAATTCTGTTTTATTAAAAGAAAAACCCCAAAAACAAAAAAAAACCCAAATGGTTGTGCTTACATTATATAAGTGCAGCAAGCACTATGACGAACAGCATGCAATTACGTTATAGAAAGACTGTCATATCGGCATAGGGTCTGACAACATGCCCATATTTATTCAATGTCATTGACTAAATAGGTGTCCATATTAGAACACTCCCATTACTAGCATCCCACCCCTTAGTTTATGGCTGCGACAAGGTTATGAATGATCTGGCCAGCATGCTGATTATTCGAAAAAGGAGTGCAACTTGGAATTTCTGGTAGAGGTAAATTAGGAGGACGCCCAAACCCATCTGTAATGCTGGACTGACAGTTGGAGCACATTTCATGTAACATATGTGGTGCTGTGGATAATGTACCTGGTTAAAGATGGTGGGACCATTTCCAAGGACGTTCTTTGTGTGGTGAATGAAACGCAGTTACAAAGAAAGATTGTGAACTTTGCCACATTGTATATTACTTGTAGCACATACTTGATCTTGATCGTTGGTACTACTTATATAGTACCATCACTTTACACAACACTTTACATATATATTGTACATTCACATTAGACCCTTCCCTCAAGGAGTTTACAATCTAACGTCCCTAACTCACATTCATACATTCACATACTAGGGGCATTTTAGACAGGAGCCAATTAAAGTGGTTGTAAAGGCTCAAGGTTTTTTACCTTCATGCATTCTATGCATGACTAACCTTCTGTGTGCAGCAGTGCCCCCTAAAACTTACCTGAGCCCTATCTCAATCCAGCAATGTGCACAAGAGCCTCGGGTCTTATTGGATGAGACAGCAATGGGAGCCATTGGCTTCCTCTACTGTCAATCACAGACAGCGAGCCAATGAGGAGAGAGTGGGGGCAGGGCTGAGCCATGCACCATGCGTGAATGGACAAGCTGCTTGCTATGGGGGCATTAGGCAGGAGGGAGGGGCCTGGAGCACCAGCGGGGGACCCAAGAAGAGGAGGATCAAGGATGCTCTTGCAAAACCATTGCACAGAGCAGGTAAGGATAACATGTTTGTTATTTAAAAAAAAAACTTTTAATGTCACTTTAACCTACCAGAATGTCTTTGGAGTGTGGTAAGAAACTAGAGCACCTGGGGAAAACCCACGCAGGCACAGAGAGAACATGCAAACACTGTGCAGGTAGTGCTGTGGTTAGGATTTGAACCAGTGACCCGAGTGCTGCCAGGCAGAAGTACTAACCACTTAGCCACTGTGCTGGCCAGAATATATTTATTCAATCACAGCTACTTTACACATTATAAGGGTTTATAAAAACTGTTGATTTGATAGCACCCATAGTGTGGATGTAGGGATACATTATTAGCTTTTTATAACTGCTCTGGAGGTTTTTTTTATAGTAAAGCAGTGGTATGATCATAGTGAGGCCATACTTTGGCCTTTATAAATTGGCTCCTTCATCATCTGGCTGTCCAATGTGACCCTACACCCCTCCCCCAATCAGTTTTTTTCATTAAGTTTGCCATATGTCGATTGAAATTTGGCTGGTTTAGCAGGCACAGGCTGATATGTAATCCATCGATGGGCAGGCTGCTTGTACCCAAGGTGATCCATTGATTGACTTGGGTTCAACCAGTATGTCAGATTTCTTTACATACGATTCCTGCTGGAGGCTATAGCTGCTAGCAGTAATCATTGTGTTTTGCCAGCCTGGAAGGCTCTCCTCCCCCCCTGCTGGCAGAACACAATAGTGCTGAAGGAGACATTCCCTCATCAACAATGATTGTGTTGATGGGGGAATCTAGCAATTTTCTTTCCTTCCACCTTTAATGTAAGAAAAAATAAATCATCTGTGTGCTGCCTTAGGCTGCTTTCACACTGAGGAGTTTTTGGAGCGCTTTTGTGTTAGAAAAGCGCATGAAAAGCTCAAGAAAAATGCTTTCATTTAACCACCTGCCTACTGGGCACTTATACCCTCTTCCTGCCCAGGCCAGTTTTCAGTGCTGTTGCATTTTAACTGACAATTGCACGGTCATGCAACACTGTACCCATATGAAATTTTTATAAATTTTTTGGAGACAGATAGAGCTTTCTTTTGGTGGTATTTAATTACCTCTGGGTTTTTTATTTTTTGCTAAACAAACCAAAAACAACTGAAAATTTTGAAAAAAAGATTTTTTTGTTAATTTTTGTTTTAAAATTTTGTAGATAAGTGATTTTTCTCCTTCACTGATATGCACTAATAAGGCTGCAGTGATGGGCACTGATAGGTGGCACTGATGGGCACTGATGAGGAGGCACTGGTAGGTGGCACTGATGGGCATTGACAGGCAACATTGCTGGGCACTGAAAGGCTGCACTCATATATGGCACTGATAGGTGGCACTGATAGGCTGACTGACTGGCACTGATAGGCGACACTGACTGGCACTGTTAGGTGCACTGACTGGCACTGTTAGGTGGCACTGATAGGCAGCACTGACGGGCACTGATAGGAGGCACTGATGCACACTGATAGGCGGCAGTGACTGGCACTGATAGGCGATACTGAAAGGCAGCTCAGATGAGCACTGATATATGGCATTGATGTGGCACACTGATGAGCACTGGCAGGTGGCATTGATGAGCACTGACAGCTGGCATTGATGGACACTGACAGGTGGCATTGTTGGGGCTACACTGATCATCAGGGCACACTGATCATCGGTGCCCTAATGATCAGTGTACATGTCCCCTCCAGGGAATGCCGATTACCGGCTCTCCTCTCCTCTCTCAGCGTGACAGCTCGTGAGGAGAAAAGTGCCGATAACTGGCATTTCCCTATTTACATGAGATCAGCTGTGATTTGGACACAGCTGATCACATGACTGAGCCGAAATCTTCGGCCCTTTCCATTGATTGGTGATCCGCTGAGCGCTACGGGAGCGTTGGAATGGGAAGACACCATATGACGTCCTCCTAGAATGAGAGACCCACCTTGCACCCGTCATTTCCTTATATGGCGGGCGGGAGGTGGTTAAATTGTATGTATGTTTTTACACTGGGGCATTGTGTTTCTCTTGTGGTGTAGAAAATCCTGCTTGCAGCATTTTTGGAGCATGTTTGTTCAGTTAAAAACGCACCAATAATGCACCTCCCCATTGAAATCAATGGAAAACGCAGCAAAAACGCCTCAAAAAGGCACACAAAATGCATTTTTGGTACAGTTTCTGAGTCACGTCTTTTAAAAAATGTACCGCAAGTGCAGCAAAATGTGTATTTGCCACGTTTTTGAGGCAGATCAGTGTGAAAGTGCTCTTAGTCTGTGTACACTAAAGTTTTGATGAGTGAGAGGTTACTGGGACTGGGTAATATCCCTTCTCTCAGAACTGTATTATTAAAATTATACAGTAAAATTATCCAAGTTAAAATCTGGTATTTACCCCTTTCCACTACTAGGATGTAGAGTAAGGCTGTCCGTTTTGCAGTGCTTTTTGCAGTTCATTTTGCATTTTTCTACACACATTTTTGCTATGTTTTTTATGTGTTCTTGAGTGTTTTGTTCAGCTCTTTTTTTTTTTTTTTTTAAAGTGGAATTTTTTTTTGCTGGGCAGAATAAAAATGCGGAACACAAAATGCGGCAAAAACACACTACCATGCTTTTTGCTTTTAAAAAAATCCATGACCCTTTCCAAAAACGCAACCTCTCAAAAAAGCATAGATGAGAACATGTTCCATAGGAAACCATGTTAAATGGACTGCAGTGCTTTTCTGCAAAAAGCACTAAAAAACGCATTGGTGTGAATGAATGGAGCCTAACTAAAATGCCCTCTGTACTGGGCATAAATCAAGTATATTAAGCGAGAGCTATAATTTTACTTACTTTTTCCATTTAAATGTTTTTAAATTGCTGTTTTATATATTTTTTATTATTTATATAAAGTCTTTATAGTACAAACATATATTATTATACATAACATGTATACATATACTGTACATGACACTGGTTTTGCAAAGCATTATGTTTTTATTTAAAATGGTCCTTACATCTAAGTTATGCTTATTTCCCACCCCTGAATATAAAACACTGGCTAAAACCTAAAAAAAAGCTTATTTCTGAGAAACCAGAGGATCCCATACACTTTAAAGTACAGTAAGAATTATCAATCTGTTTTTTTTTCTTGCAGCCTTTACAAAAAAGAGGACAAGTGGTATATGATGGACTGAACAAAAATTTCAAATAAGTGTATAAAAGTACTTGCAAAAGTCCTTGAACTGTCTTTTTATATAAAGTTAGTTAGAACAAAACATTATGCAAAATATTCTTAACAAGGAATAACATTGAAAGTATAATATTCATGCCAAATGAAAAAAAAAAAAAAAAAAAAAGATTTTTGTAATTGTAATTTAATCAGTTTGCTAATTTGCTTTGAAACAAGTATATGTATCCATAAAGTGCGATGATCCAATTTGCTCCTGCAGAGGAAAAAATTCCTTCCTGATCCCCCAGAGGCAATCAGATATTCCCTGGATCAACTTTGCCTATAGATGTTAGTATCCAGTTATATTCTGTGTATCCATGAAAGAATCCAGGCCTTTTTTAAAGCAATCCACTGAGCTGGCCAGAACCAACTCTTGGGGGAGTCTATTCCACATTTTCACAGCTCTTACTGTGAAGAAACCTTTACGATTTTAGAGATTAAATTTATTTTCCTCCAGACGTAAAGAGTGCCCCTTTATCTCCTCTTCTTAAGAGAGAATAAATTCAGTTCCTCTAATCTTTCCTCATAGCTGATCTCCTCCATGCCTCGTATCAGTTTAGTTGCCCTTCTCTGTACTTTCTCCAGTTCCCCAATGTTCTTTTTGTGATTTGGTGCCCAAAACTGAACTGCATATTCCAGATGAGGTCTTACTAATGATTTGTACAGGGGTAATATGATATCTCTCTCTCTGGAGTCTATACCTCTTTTAATACAAGAGAGGATTTTGCTTGCTTTAGAAACTGCAGCTTGGCATTGCATGCTATTATTAAGCTTGTGATCTACCAGAACCCCCAGATCTTTCTCCACCAGGGGCGGACTGACAACTCATGGGGCCCCTGGGCAATAGGGGATCATGGGGCCCCTGTGTCCTTGCCCAAACTCAAAAAAAGCCTATGAAAAAGGTACCAGAGGCATCTCATGGGGCCCCCTACTGACCCCGGGCCCTCGGGCAGTGCCCGAGTTTCCAAATGGTCAGTCCGCCCCTGTTCTCCACCATTGATTCCCCCAGTTGTACCCCCCCTAGTATGTATGATGCATGCATATTCTTAGCCCCCAAGTGCATAACCTTACATTTATCAACATTAAACCTCATTTGCCACATAGTTGCCCAATTAAACAGTGCATTGAGGTCGGCTTGTAAATTGGAGACATCCTGTAAGGACGTTTTCCACTGCACAGCTTGGTGTCATCTACAAAGACTAAAATTGGATTTATAATCCCAGACCCTATATTGTTTATAAATATATTAAAAAGTAAGGGTCCCAACACTGATCCTTGGGGTACACCACTTGTGTACACCACTGGCACCCTAGACCATTCAGAGAATGAATCATTAATCACTACTTTCTGAATACGATCTTTTAGCCAGTTTTCTATCCATTTACATAAGGATTTTTCCAAGCCCGTAGGCTTTACCTTACACATTAGCCGTGTGTGGGGAACTGTGTCAAATGCTTTTGCAAAATCCAAGTATACCACGTCCACCGCCACCCCTCTGTTTTTGCTCACCGCCTCATAAAAAGAAATCAGATTTGTTTGACAGCTTCTGTCTTTCATGAATCCCAAACTGTCTGTTGCTTAAAATATTTTTTTCCAGCAAGAACTTATCTATGTGATCTTTTATTAAACTCTCCAGTATCATCACAAATCTGGAAGTTAAACTAACAGGTCTATAATTACGTGGTAAAGATTTTGACCCTTTTTTAAATATTGGCACCACATTGGCACACATATTGGCACCACATTGGCCTTACGCCAATCCAGTGGTACTATGCCAGTCATTAAAGAGTCCCTAAAAATGAGAAACAATGGCTTTGAAATGACAGAGCTCAATTCTTTAAGGACCCGTGGATGTATGCCATCCGGTCCAGGTGCTTTATTCACCTTTATTCTGTCCAAATATTTTTGGATCATATCAATTGTGAGCCAATGTGGATCATCTGGAGCTGTGTCAATACCATGCCCATTATGGACAAGAGACCCCCCATACTCCTTTGTATACACAGAGCTGAAGAAGGTATTTAATAAATTGCGTGTAAAGAAAATCATTATATTTTCTGCGTATACGTTTTCCTTCCTACATTTTTCTGTAAAATGCAGTAGTGTCCTTGCCTCTAGATCACTCACACAGCATCCTTAGAATCCCCCCTTTCCCATCCTGGCTCAGCAGTGTAATACCTCTGCAAAAATTATTCCCTCCTCTCCCCAGGCGATGGTTGCCACCATTTGTCATATTTGTTGTTCTTGATGCTGTTTCTTTATTAGACCTGAAAGTATTTCGAATTAATAGTAAACGCCACATCAATTGCAGGCCAGCTGTGTTCCATGGCAATGTTGTTGACAATTAATCTCATCCAAGGGCAGAGTACATGGACAGTACCAAATTACCACCATATTTATTGAGAAAATTAAACATTAGAATGAAAAGGAAGAAATCCAAATACATCCTCTCAAAACTCTACCACCTATCAGCCATGTATAGGTAGAGAACAATCAGTCTTAAAGGGGAGCTCTAGGCTGGTGTAAAATATGTCCATGTAGTGCCACACTCCCCATGTCTGCATATATAATATACTATGTATTATAAATAAAATCTGACTCCCATTCTACATGAGGTTGAGATGTTCTATAGTAAGTCAGTTTTAGATATAGAAATATCAGTAACTTTTAAAACTATAACACATATGTAGTAGCCCCTGAACCCCTGCAGAAGCCCTTTGGATGTCATGTTTTTTAATTTCTATAAATTGATCTTGACTTATAAAATGACACACAATTGCAGTAAGCTGGCACTGTTTGAAAATCTCATTTAATATTTGTAGCCAAGATAGATGGTCTAAACCAGTGGTCTCCAAACTGCGGTGAGGGTCAGATTTGGCCCTTTGCTTCATTTTATCTAGCCCTTGGGGCATTACTCCCTCACTGTCATCAACAGTGGAGCATAGTTCCTGCCACTGACACCAACAATGGGGCACTATTCCTCCCACTGACACCTGGGGCACTATTCCAACAATGGGGCACTATTCCTCCCACTGGCACCAACGATGAGGCACTATTCCAACACTGGGGCACTATTCCTCCCACTGGCACCAACGATGGGGTATTATTCCTCCCACTGACACCAACGATGGGGCACTATTCCAACAATGGGGCACTATTCCTCCCACTGGCACCAAACGATGGGGTATTATTCCTCCCACTGACACCAACGATGGGGCACTATTCCTCCCACTGACACCAATGATGGGGCACTATTCCTCCCCTGACACCAATGATGGGGCACTATTCCTCCCACTGACACCAATGATGGGGCACTATTC